AAGCTGAGCCGCTGAACCTTGGCTTCATAGCAGTGCTGCAAGATGCCAATGATGCTGCACAAGTGTGCATGGTGACGCTGAGTAAGTGTCAATGACGCTGAGCAAGTGTCAATGACGCTGAGCAAGTGTCAATGACGCTGAGCAAGTGTCAATCGCGCGCATTATGGTCTGAGATGGTCTGAGGGAAAGAGACAGAGACAAAGACGGAAAGACAGAGATAGATAAATGAGCATGCCCGCGCAGGTCATGGCTCACATATTTAACATGCGTTTGAAACATGTCATGTAGCCTAAGAAGCACGGCACCCAACCAGAACAGCCAAGTGGAGCACCACATGCAAGCAGTGAGTCAACAAAGCCAACAGGTGTGCAGCAGGTCTCACTTGCTTCCTGAGCGGCAGCCATGGACAGCAAGGGCCAGAAAGGCCAGGTGGACTGGCGCTGGAAAGGCCAAAAGGGCGTCAATGCTCGCGGCAGCAGCGGCGAGAAAGGCGGCGGCAAGATGGGCAGTGGTGGCGCAAAAGGCGATCAGAAGGGCGACGACAAGGGCGTCAAAGGCGGCGAGAAGGGCTTCGTCAAAGGCGGCGGCGAGAAGGGCGACGACAAGGGCGTCAAAGGCGGCGGCGAGAAGGGCATCAAAGGCGGCGAGAAAGGTGAGAAGGGCGGCGAGAAGGGCGGCGGCGAGAAGGGTGGCGGCAGCCAGGGCGGTGAGAAGGGCGGCGGCGAGAAGGGCGAGAAGGGCGGCGAGAAAGGCGAGAAGGGCGAGAAAGGCGAGAAAGGTCAGAAGGGCGAACGCCACGGCCACCGCCATGATGCTGCGCAGGAGAGGCGCCATGAGGTTTGGCGGGTTCGCCAGGACCTGAGGCGGGCAGAGCGGGACCTCGAGCAATGCGAGGAGAAGTGGGAGACCAAGCTTCGGCTGAGCAACTTGGAGCACGACCGCGCCATGTCAATGCTGCGCAACAGCTTCGATGAGAAGTACACCGCGGACATGAGCCAGCTTGTTGCGCGGCACACCCATGAGCTGGTCACCGCCCAGGCCCAGAGCACTCAGGCCCTTCAACAGAAAGAAGCTGAGCTCAGGCGGTTCCAGGAGGCGTGCACAACCTGGGAGGCCCACTGCAAAAGGCTGCAGCAGAAGGTTGAAGCCTTGGTGGCAGACCTGGAGGCGGCGCTACAGTCGAAGCAGAACGAGAAGGTGGCGATGGAAAGCAAGATCTCAGACTTGCAGGCGGCGATAGCATTGCTCAGAATGGAGGCTGAGGCGAAAGATGAGAAGCTGCAGCAGCAACAGGATCCCGGGAGGAAGAAGGCGCGACTGTCTACGTAGCAGTGAGTGTCAATGCTGAGTGGAATCACGCCTGTCCAGGCAGAACAGCGGGCTGCATCCAGCAAGTTCAAGGCCAAGGCGCAGGGGGTCGGGATGTTAAAAAACCAGACGCTGGACAAGTGTCCTGGACGCTGAGTAAGTGTTCCGGACGCTGAGTGAGTGTCCCAGTACGAGATCTTGCGAAAGCGCAGCATGCGGCAATCAACATCACTGACGCACAATGTGTCAGGCACAGCCTAGGAGAAGCGCGCCAGCAACAGATCCAGAAGCAGCACATCAGTGCCAGGCATGTCCACCAATGGATGCGCAGTATGGCAATTTCATGTTGCGCCAGGAGCCCTCGCAACCACCAAAGAAGAAAAAATGAAAGAAAGGTGAGGAGGACCAGCAACTAAACTGGACCAAGCTGCTGCAACACACTGTGCCAGGATCGCCGCGCGCAAAGGAGGCATGTGGGAGGGTTTAAGTTTCACTTTCTCGGGATGCCTTTGCGCGATTGATTAATCTGACGCTGACAAAGTGTCCCATGACGCTGAGCAAGTGTCAACACAGGTACGGAGGGAGAGAGAGAGAGAGAGAGAGAGAGAGAGAGAGAGAGAGAGAGAGAGAAAGAGAGAGAGAGAGAGAGAGAGTGAGAGACAGAGAGAGAGAGAGAGAGAAAGAGAGAGAGAGAGGGGAAAAAAGAGAGGAGAGAATGACAGCCAGGTGCAACACTGCTGAGTGGCGAATGGCAGAGAGCGGTGAACGAAAATTCAGGACAGGCAGCACAGCACATGCGGAACAAACAACAAGCCATGTGTAACGAGACAATCGGACCAGCACAAAACACATGCGTTTCGGAACCGCTTTGCCATGTCAGACTGACCTCTTCCAGCGAACATCGCAGGGCAAAAAAGTGCGAGAGGGGAATTGCTGTGCATGCATTGCTGCGCGCATTGCCCGTTAAGTTGAAAGCTCGTCATTGAATGCAGCCGAGGAACGTTCTGGCAGCTGCTGGTGCAGTGTCCAGGTCCTGAGGACACAGTTGGGGGGTGGGGAGGGAAGTGCGCATAAGGAATTGCGCCCGAATCCCAAACAAAAGAGTGCTAACGTTTCTTTCAACCTTCAGTGGATGAGGCTTCACATGCGTCTTCAGGGATGAAACCAGTTCTCCACTTGCTCAGCGGTCACTTGCACTTTCTCAGCGCCCAGGCACTTACTCAGCGCCTTTTTGTCTGCGCCCTGTAAATGGATGCGACTTAAAGAATCCAATAGCACATCCCGAATCCGGTCATTAGTCATGGCTGTGTGTGTGTGTCCTGTTGACGGGTTTGTTTAACGATCATTGTTGCACAGTGGGTTGGTTCTACCACCTCTGGACGGCTGCCAGCAATGATCTGACACAGCGTTTCAAAAGGTGACATTTTGTGATGTGACCAACCAGCTTCTCCAAGACTTGTCAAGTGCATCCAGGCAGGAACGACCGAAGCGACAGAGCACTTACTCAGCGCTCTTTGCACTTGCTCAGCGCATAGGCACTTGCTCAGCGCCTTTTTCTTTGCACAGGCACTTGATCAGCGCCTTTTTGTGCTTTCGACCGGCTTCGACCCTTCAGCCCTGCCTTTGCCATGCTTGTCCTTGGTAACCTTGGCACTTGGCCAATCTGAGTACCTGAGTCTACGGCCTGCAGGAGAATTGGTGGAGTAGGGGCTTGAGTGGGACTGGCTCAATATGTTAAAAACGCCTCAATGTTTGCAAACGGCATAAAAGGGGCAAAGGAGTTGGGGTGTCTTCACTATTGGGGCCCACTGCCTGGGGTTGTGCGGCGCAATGCATTTCAGCAAAATGTTTGGGTGAGCAAATACCGATCACAAAACAATTTCAAAACAGTTTGGCCTGAAACCTGCAAACATCTTGCATACCCAAAACTCAAATACCAAGTTGGTGCTCAAAGGCAAATTGCAGCCCGCCAAAAAGGCACAGAAGCCAGAAGAAAAGGCACAGATGCACAAAAAAAATCTTATTTGCGGCGTTTTTTTAGAATTGCGGCAGAACTTGTTTTCAGTTTTTTCTACCCCCCGATTTGCGGCGGAAATCGGCGGGAATGCGGCGGAAATCGGCGGGAATGCGGCGGAAATTCCCGGAAAGCAAACGGTGTTGCGGCGTTTTTGTTTTGGTTGCGGCGTTTTTTTGGGTTTGCGGCTGATTTTCTGGAATGCGGCGGGAATTTCCGCCGCAATGCGTTGTGGCAGAAATTTCCGCCGCAGGAAGTTCTAGGTATATGTATACGCACATTTATGTATCTGCGTGCGTGAACATAACCTGAGCTTTTGGTTCATACGGTATGTGTATATGCATGCTAGTCCCCGCCTAAAGACAACAACACCAGCATGCAGATGTTGTGGGTAGGCACGGCACCAATAATCAGACTTACTTCCTGGGCTCCCGGGGAGGTCAAGTTTTCCTGCGAGCAACCCGCAAAGTATGTTTTCAGCGCCGGAAGAACCCAACCGTCCCGTCCCATTCAAAGCAGGGCGAGTGCTTTGTCTGGTTTCCGCGCCCGGCTCGGAGAGCTGAAGGGAGGGGGAAAGTGGTCCAAACCGAACAGTCTCCAAAACACGCAGTCTTTTGGGAGCATTTGCTCAAAAAGCCCAAGGGCTAGAGATCACTGTGCTGACCGGGGCAACAACTAACAAAGAAGGGACTTGGCACAAAACACATCCGAACCACCTGTGGTTTCCCAGCCATTGTTGGTAAAAAGAGAGGGCAGCCACTGTCGGATTGCCATCCAAACACACGGGTGGGGCTGCGGTGAGTGAAGAAACCGCTTTCCGCGGACGAAAGGCGCGCCGCGTTGGATCGATCTCAACCGCCAAGCGTGCAAATAATTGAGGCGAGGCAAGGGGAGGAACGGAACACGACCTGGGCTCCTAGGCTCCCACCAAATGTGCTCAACATTTTCGCGCGGATGACCCGGAGGAAACGGAAGCTCGAAGCCTTGTTGCAATCAACCTTGAGGCGACATGTAAGTCAACACGTCAACTATGTTTCGGCGAGCCAAGGTGCGATCCACGGAACCCCCCGAATATATATACATATATATATATATGTATAACATAATATACGCATACATACGGACATTTTTTTGGAGTTGCGTAGCAGCTATGTCATCTAATATAGGAATTGGATCCACGCAAGTGTGAGGCATCTTCTCCTCAAATCCGAAACTATGTAATGCGATGCATGCTAAATGCTCTCAGGGCCCTAAGAAAATTTCGGGTCCCATCCCGAAACAGCTCCTTCTGAGAGACATCCTTTTTCGTCTCTAGGGCTCTACTGGGAACCGCGGGCCCTTACCCAGCAGACTGGCTTACATGGGTGCTGCAGGAAGACTCTTCCAAAAAAAACATAAGGATGTCAAAACAAGGCAAATGGCACCCCAGCTGAGCACTGACCCTGGTATGCAAGGAATGGGAACCCTTTGCCGATTTAACCAGCTGTTTGATTCTGGTGTGTGAAAATTAACGTGACATCTTTCAAATCACCCTCTAAAGGACGGTTTAAGGGCAGCCACCAAAAGCAACTTTCAGAACCCTCCATGTTCACTTTGAGGGACCTAGACCCCCCCAAAAAAAAACTGGGTTTCCAACCAGATCCCAAGCCATTGGAATCGGATCAAATGATCAAATCGCCTGCTTGAGCAGATTCCCCTCCAGCTTGGAGACAGCCGCCGTCTGAGCGCGGCGAGAAGCGACGGAGATGCAAGAAGAGCGGCAAAAACAGGATGTTTGTATATTCCGAAGAAAAAGAAACCTTCGAGCAAAAAACACCCAATTGTGGTCGTGGTTCGGAAAAAAATGTCGTTGTTTGGAAAGAAGGTATTTTTGTGGAAAGGTGGCCTGGCTCATCTAAGATTTCCAGATTTTCCCGCCCTTCTCCGCTTGATTCAACCTTCGTTCCGGGTTTTTCCGCCCTTGTTTGGCTCTCCCAGATGCACTCTGCCCACGAAACTCCAAAGAAGGTCGATGTTTGTAAAACTGCCGTTTCACGAAAACAGTTTTTTCTCAGAAAAAAAGAGAGAAAAACACACACACACACACACACACACACACACACACACACACACACACACACACACACACACACACACACACACACACACACACACACACACACACACACACACACACACACACACACACACACACACACACACACACACACACACACACACACACACACACACACACACACACACACACACACACACACACACACACACACACACACACACACACACACACACACACACACACACACACACACACACAACACACACGCACGCACGCACACACGCACGCACGCACGCACGCACGCACGCACGCACGCACGCACGCACGCACGCACGCACGCACGCACGCACGCACGCACGCACGCACGCACGCACGCACGCACGCACGCACGCACGCACGCACGCACGCACGCACGCACGCACGCACGCCCGCACGCACGCACGCACGCACGCACGCACGCACGCACGCACGCACGCACGCACGCACGCACGCACGCACGCACGCGCACGCCGCACGCCGCACGCACGCACGCACGCACGCACGCACGCACGCACGCACGCCGCACGCACGCACGCACGCACGCACGCACGCACGCACGCACGCACGCACGCACGCACGCACGCACGCACGCACGCACGCACGCACGCACGCACACACGCACACACGCACACGCACGCACACACGCACACACGCACACACGCACACACGCACACACGCACACACGCACACACGCACACACACGCACACACGCACACACGCACACACACGCACACACACGCACACACGCACACACGCACACACGCACACACGCACACACGCCCACACGCCCACACGCCCACACGCCCACGCCCACGCCCACGCCCACGCACACGCACACGCACACGCACACACACAGCTTCACAGGTATGCATATTTTCACTCATTGAAATTACCAGCGCAGGATCACGACAAACCGGCCCAAGGGTTCTGCATCGCCGTTGAGACGGACGGTTTCGGCATCTGCTCGGCTGAAGGGACAAGCGATCGAAAAGGCTTCGGCTTCGGGCCCTGTGCCATTGGCCCCTGGCTCTTCACGGGTCAGTTTCTGAAATCTATCGTTTCCATGCGAGCAGCCGATGCCACGGCTTCACTTAATACCGTCCCTGCTTGCTGGCTGAAACAAGCAGGAAGTGGGTCCCTGCATTTTCGCCGAAATGAAGCATGGACCAGTTACGGTTTCAGCTCATGAGGAGCATGATGAAGCTTGCGTGAGCTTCATTGAGGCACTGCCATCGTGTAGTTCCTCTCCCCGGCTTTCAAGGATTCTAACCAAAGCAGCAACATTCTGGCAATATGACCACCAGAAATCAATAGGCGACATCTGAAATGCAAACCGATAGAAGCCTACCCGACATCGAGAACGTACTCACATGACTTACCGTAATTCGGGGTACTTCACAGTTTTAACCTGTGGTGTTATTTTTTTGGACCACCTACCAGAACCACCAATTCCGGAATGGCCGGAGCAAGAAAGGTAACTGTTCAGTCCAAAAACATCTATGAGCTGAACAACGCAAACCATATGGAAGGGCGTGTCGTTTTGGGAGGAACCGCTTGTTGTTCCAATGGAAAACACCTGGACATTTACCATTTGTACAATTAGTTGTCATCCCAAGGTAGGCAAGCATTTGACACGAAGTATTGCAACCGTTGCTTGTTTCTCACACGTATATTTCTGGGATTGATGGGATTATTGTCTCCAATATTTTTCAACAGGACGTCTGACTGACGGGCTGGGGCCACGCACCAGACGTCGAACCTCCTGCAAGTTTGCCTGCGAAGTTTGGACCCAACAAAAATGGCTTCGGTGTTCCTTTTGGATGTCCTTTAAACCAAGGTGAAAAAGGTACCATACAATTCAATCCCAAAGGACAATGGGAGTGGGTCGGGGTGTGTTGATGTTCTCACTTCAACGAGTGAATTGCCTAACGTCCCAACATTTTGCTCACAGCTAGCACGGTCTTGCCGCAAGTCCTAGAGTGACTTTCTCTCTTGTCGCGATGGCGGTCCTTGAAAGAACCACGGTATCAGCCAGTCTATCTTTTCGAGGCATGGCAATCTCTTCCCCAAGCAGGTGAAGGGCAGGTCAGTGCAAATAAGCCGAGCTGGAATCAACCTAAAAATAGCTTGGATCGTTTCTCGACCGGGCCAATCCCTGATTGCTAACCCATCCTCGGGTAATCCTAGGTAAGGAAACCTGGGTGGTCCACATTGAATAAACGGAACATGTTAATTCCGTTCACATTTCACGAGCATGATTCCCTCCTGGTTACCTAAACTGTATGTGATAATATAATAACAACATAAGAGGTCAAACCAAAAAGCCGCCAAGTTGATTTTGTTGCCATCTTCTGGAATCAATTGGAGTCGGCCATGTTCAATGGCATGATTTGCTCTTTCAGGACGAACGTGTTGGAAGTATGTTTAAGTTGGGCAAACCTTTGTTGATCAGGGTGTATCGCTTGAACCCCCTGGCATGTTTCTTTTCAAAAAGGGAACATCTAAGCACGTACAAGACCTGGTTAAGGAGAGGGGGAAAGCACATACAGCTAGGTATGAAAATTGCCAAGGTCAAATGCTTGGGTCCTCATTGAGATCGCCTGGCTCAAACATCTTGCCTGGTCAAAGAGCGGTGCCCGCTCCACGATGCGGCTTCCCTTGGCAACGATCTGCCAATACAGTTTGTGGAGCAGGGCGCCATAAGATTTGGGTGACTTGTACAACTGATAATTGACCAACTGGGTAAATCTGGGTCGATTATACTCAGCAAGAAAGGACCTGGCAATACAAGGTGAACCTGTTGGAACCCTGCAAAATGGATAACAACTGGAAACCAACAGGTGAAAAGGTCGGCTTTGGGCAGGCAATATATTTTTTCCAGACTGACATGAAGGACCCCGAAGAAGCAATCTGTTTGGATGATGTCTGCAAATCCCCTTTGTAAGGCCCTTTCGCCCAAATACAATTCACACTCCACAAATACACATATGTATCAACATGTAAAATGTGCCCCTTCTACTCGAGCCCACATAGGAGCACATATCCGAACAGTGCCCTGGCAGCAAGAGTGGATTTTGGTGACAAGTTAAGAGCCTGAACAGCCAGACAGTTTCTTCTTGGAATCACGTCAACAAGAGGAGGTCCCATTCGAGGCGCATGTTGATAAACCACGTAACGGGAGATAATATGTGGGGCATCTGGCTCACCAAGTACAGACACGGCTTCAAGCTTCGCCCATGCCGAGATTCAGGGTAGAGTTTGACATGGAACCCCGCAAAACACAAAGATGCTTAGAAAGGAATCTCCTTCCTGTAAAACAGCGTTCTTTGGTTCCCTGTTGATTTGCACCCTCAACGTATTTCATCCCAAATGTTGACAGGCATCTCCGACATGGAGCCTTTTGAGAGTTTACATTACCAACTTCGGATGAATGGTATCAGTCAGGAACAGTGGGAAAGGCGTGAGCCCTCTGATTCACACAGTCATTCGGAATGTAAAATCAGCATCCGTTGAGAAGGTGGTATCCACCACCAACTTCGCTCTTCCCTTTCAATTGGCAAAGAAACCTCTTTCCCGACCGCGGTGATCAGGCAGCAAAGCCTGAGTTTGCTTCTTAAATGTGTGCTTCTTGCATTGGATTGGTTATAAACAACCGTTGGTTTGGTTTGTGAACAAAACGGCTCGGCACTCAAAAATGGCCATACTTTTCACTTATTTCTGACCATACGCATTTTGCTTATATTTGTCCATCAACTTCCCTTATTTATGACCATGGAATTCACTTACTTGTGACCAGGCGACCAAAGTATCATGCTTCAAGCACCAGGAGAAAGTGCCACGCTGCCATCACTTCCCTTATTTATGACCATGGACCGGGACAAAACCGGGATGGCGTGGAGCAATGGCCGGGAAGGCGTCGAGCAAAGACTGGGCAGGCTGCGGGGAAAGACCGGAAAGGCGTCGAGCAATGACCGGGCAGGGAAGGCCCCGGGAGAAGACCGGGAAGGCGCCGAGCAATGACCGGAAAGGGGTCGAACAAAAGACAAAGACCGGGAGGGCTGCGGGGAAAGACCGGGAAGGCTGCGGGGAAAGACCCGGAAGGTGGCGAGCAATAACCGAAAGGTTCCGGGAGAAGACCAAAAAGGCGTCCAGGAAGGACCGGGAAGGCGTTGCGCGAAGACCGGGAAGGCCCCGAAGGAAGACCGGGAAGGCCCCGGAGAAGACAGGGAAGGCGTCCAGGAAGGACCGGGAAGGCGTCGAGGAAAGACCGGGAAGGCCCCGGGAGCAGACCGGGAAGGCGTCGAGCAATGACCGGGAAAGCGTCAAGCAATGACCGTGAAAACGTCGAGCAATGACCGGGAGAAGACCGGGGAGGGCGTCGAGCAATGACCAGGAAGGCGTCGAGCAATGACCGTGAAGGCAGGAAGAGGAAAGACCGGGAAGGCGCCGAGGAAGGACCGGGAAGGCCCCGGGAGAAGACCGGGAAGGTGTCGAGCAATGACCGGGAAGGCTGCGGGGAAAGGCCGGGAAGGCTGGAAGGCAAGACCGGGAAGGCGTCCAGCAAAGACCGGGGAAAACATCGAGCAAAGACCGGGAAGGCGTCGGGAGAAGACCGGAAAGGCGTCAAGCAATGACCGGGCAGGCGTCGAGCAAAGACTAGGAAGGCTGCGGGGAAAGACCGGAAAGGCGGCGAGCAATGACCGGGCAGGCGTCGAACAAAGACCGGGAAGGCCCCGGGAGAAGACCGGGAAGGCGTCGAGCAATGACCGGCAGGGGGTCGAACAAAGATCGGGAAGAAAGACCGGGAGGGCTGCGGGGAAAGACCGGGAAGGCTGCGGGGAAAGACCGGGAATGCGGGGAAAGACCGGGAAGGTGTCGAGCAATGACCGGAAGGTTCCGGGAGAAGACCGGGAAGGCGTCGAGGAAGGACCGGGAAGGCGTCGCGCGAAGACCGGGAAGGCCCCGAGGGAAGACCGGAAAGGCCCCGGGAGAAGACAAAGAAGGCGTCGAGAAGGACCGGGAAGGCGTCGAGGAAACCGGGAAGGCCCCGGGAGCATACCGGGATGGCGTCGAGCAATGACCGGGAAGGCGTCGAGCAATGACCGTGAAGACGTCGAGCAATGAGGCGTCGAGGAGAAGACAGGGAAGGCGTCGAGGGAAGACCGGGAAGGACCCGGGAGAAGACCGGGGAAGGCGTCGAGCAATGACCGGGAGGGCGTCGGGGAAAAGACCGGGAAGGCGTCGAGGGAAGACTGGGAAGGACCCGGGAAAAAACCGGGGAAGGCGTCGAGCAATGACCGGGAAGGCGTCGAGCAATGACCGTGAAGTCTGCGGGGAAAGACCGGGAAGGCGTCGAGGAAGGACCGGGAAGAAGACCGGGAAGGTGTCGAGCAATGACCGGGAAGGCTGCGGGGAAAGAACGGCTGAGGGGGAAAGACCGGGAAGGCGTCGAGCAAAGACCGGGAAGGCGTCGAGCAAAGACCGGGAAGGCCCCGGGAGAAGACCGGGAAGACGTCGAGCAAGGACCGGGAAGGCGTCGAACAAAGACCGGGAAGGCCCCGGGAGAAGACCGGGAAGGCGTCGAGCAATGACCGGGAAGGGGTCGAACAAAGACCGGGAAGAAAGACCGTGGGGCTGCGGGGAAAGACCGGGAAGGCTGCGGGGAGCAAAGACTGGGCAGGCTGCGGGGAAAGACCGGAAAGGCGTCGAGCAATGACCGGGCAGGGAAGGCGCCGGGAGAAGACCGCAATGACCGGAAAGGGGTCGAACAAAGACCGGGAAGAAAGACCGAGAGAGAAGACCGGGGAAGGCGTCGAGCAGTGAAGGCAAAAAGGGGAAAGACCGGGAAGGCGTCGAGGAAGGACCGGGAAGGCCCCGGGAGAAGACCGGGAAGGTGTCGAGCAATGACCGGGAAGGCTGCGGGGAAAGACCGGGAAGGCTGGGGGGAAAGACCGGGAAGGCGTCGAGCAAAGACCGGGAAGGCGTCGAGCAAAGACCGCCCCGGGAGAAGACCGGAAAGGCGTCGAGCAATGACCGGCAAGGGGTCGAACAAAGACCGGGAAGAAAGACCGGGAGGGCTGCGGGGAAAGACCGGGAAGGCTGCGGGGAAAGACCGGGAAGGTGTCGAGCAATAACCGGAAGGTTCCGGGAGAAGACCGGGAAGGCGTCGAGGAAGGACCGGGAAGGCGTCGAGCAAAGACCGGGAAGGCCGCAAGGGACAACCGGGAAAGCTCCAGGAGAAGACAGGGCAGGCGTCGAGGAAGGACCGGGAAGGCCCGGGAGAAGACCGGGACGGTGTCGAGCAATGACCGGGAAGGCTGCGGGGAAAGACCGGGAAGGCTGGGGGGAAAGACTTGGGCTGAAGCGCACAGTGCGCTTGCAGTAAGCACACTGCGTGCTCAGCACCAATCTCCAAGGCTCTGCTCGGACAGGGCCCAAGACCTTGCTGGCTGCGCTTGCCGGTTGCTCCCCCTGACAAAGCCCTGACCAAACATCTTCATGCCGACCTCTCACCTGTGACGCCTGGTCTCGGTCGGAGCGTCCAGGAAAGACCGGGAAGGCCCCGGGAGCAGACCGGGAAGCACACTGCGTGCTCAGCACCAATCTCCAAGGCTCTGCTCGGACAGGGCCCAAGACCTTGCTGGCTGCGCTTGCCGGTTGCTCCCCCTGACAAAGCCCTTACCAAACATCTTCATGCCGACCTCTCACCTGTGACGCCTGGTCTCGGTCGGAGCGTCGAGGAAAGACCGGGAAGGCCCCGGGAGCAGACCGGGAAGGCGTCCAACAATGACCGGGAAAGCGTCGAGCAATGACCGTGAAAACGGAGAAGAGCGGAATGGCGTCGAGGGAAGACCGGGAAGGACCCGGGAGAAGACCGGGGAAGGCGTCGAGCAATGACGTCGAGCAATGACCGTGAAAGACCGGGGCGTCGAGGAAGGACCGGGAAGGCCCCGGGAGAAGACCGGGAAGGTGTCGAGCAATGACCGGGAAGGCTGCGGGGAAAGACCGGGAAGGCTGGGGGGAAAGACCGGGAAGGCGTCGAGCAAAGACCGGGAAGCTGTCGAGCAATAACCGGAAGGTTCCGGGAGAAGACCGGGAAGGCGTCGAGGAAGGACCGGGAAGGCGTCGCGCGAAGACCGGGAAGGCCCCGAGGGAAAACCGGGAAAGCCCCAGGAGAAGACAGGGAAGGCGTCGAGGAAGGACCGGGAAGGCCCGGGAGAAGACCGGGACGGTGTCGAGCAATGACCGGGAAGGCTGCGGGGAAAGACCGGGAAGGCTGGGGGGAAAGACTTGGGCTGAAGCGCACAGTGCGCTTGCAGTAAGCACACTGCGTGCTCAGCACCAATCTCCAAGGCTCTGCTCGGACAGGGTCCAAGACCTTGCTGGCTGCGCTTGCCGGTTGCTCCCCCTGACAAAGCCCTTACCAAACATCTTCATGCCGACCTCTCACCCGCTCTGTGCAACCTGAACGCATGTGCGCGCGCATCTACGCAGCACGGTCACTACTAAGTGGACAAACATGGTCACAAATGAGTAGCACCCTATGTTCAGAAATGAGACAAAACATATGGTCAGATTTGAGTGGAAATTATGGTCAGAAATGAGGCGTGTACCAACAAAACCCCAACTTTTGTGTGTTGTTTATACGAGGACCTTGACTCAACTGAGACGAAGAAACCTAAAACAGCGGGAGCTACACTTAGAGGTCGCGCAGGTGCGGCATTTCCCTTGCATAATCACGTGTTGCTATTCGGTGGTTTGGTGATTTGAGGGCTGCTGAACAATGGGGAGGTACCATGATTCCAAGAAAAAACACAACGCGTTGCGACGCAACCCCAGCTAGGTCCATGGCTGGCACCGAATGCTTGACCACGACCTGTGCCATGGTCAACATTGAGGCAAAATGGAAGAACGTCCAAGCCTTCAAATGAAAACCACAATGGACAACTTTGAGTCTCTGTTCGAACTTTTATGTTGAATCCTGATCAAATGTTTGTACTCAACAGGCTGGGTGCTAAATAGGGGGTCCGGACTAGTTTGTTTGTCTTCGAGCAAATGCCCATCTTTTTTTAAGCTTCCTAAGCCAAACAATGTTGCTATTTAGCACACAGCAAGTGTAACCAGCGTTTGTTTATCGGGCGGGCCGTGAAGCTGGTTGCGAATCTCCTGAATTGCCATGCACATTGCTCTCCTGAATTGCCATACACGTTGCTCCCCTGAACCCAAAGATCGCTTCCCCAAAGGCATGCTAAACACAGGCTGAAGATTGACCAACTGGTTCGGGTTCAATTCCAGCATCCCCCTTCCCGTGAAGTGATCCTGCCGGAGGTGCCGGTCCAAGTTCGATGCTGTCGGAACGGTTGCGACTGGAGGCATGTCCACGTCGCAGTGCACCGGCCGCCTCTTGTGGATTTTGCTAGTGTTCCACATTCACCTGTAGCATGGAGAGTGGGCACATTGTGACACTCAAACTGCAAGGCCGAAGCTGGAGAGGCCTCCAACTGTTTCCGTACGATGCTAGCTGTTGCTCTTGTAAACCAGCTCGAAAACCATGAAACCCAGTGGGTTCCAGGGGACCCTCCAAAATTACCGCCAAACAGCGCGACACTTGGTGTCTGAACGCCGTGCTATTATCGAGAGAAAATGTGAAAACAAAAAACCGAAAACCCGAAAAAATATCCAAACAACCCTGGCCAAACCGCCACAGAATCGCGATCCCCCGAACTCGAGTGTGTCACCCAAGAGCCCAGCCTGGCTCTCCTCTGTTCGGTTGCTGGCCTGGCGCACAAAGTCTTGCATGCCACGGCGCGCTGAGACCCCCGCACGCTTTGAAATGGAAGAAGAAGCTCATTAACGTCCAAGTTCCATAGTTAAACAATTGTAGACACACCCCAGACGCACACACACACACACACACCCACACGCACACGCACACGCACACGCACACACACACACAGACGCAAACGCCGACGCAGACGTGCGCACGCACGCACGCACACCCCCACACACACACACACACACACACACACACACACACACACACACACACACACACACACACACACACACACACACACACACACACACACACACAAACACACACACACACACACACCCACCCACCCACCCACGCACGCACGCACGCACGCACGCACGCACGCACGCACACACGCACGCACGCACGCACGCACGCACGCAAGCACGCAGGCACGCACGCACGCACGCACGCACGCACGCACGCACGCACGCACGCACGCACGCACGCACGCACGCACGCACGCACGCACCCACACACACACAGACACACACACACACAAACACGGTCAGAAATTCAGGTTTGCCGTAAATGAACGGCAGCTCGAAACAAACGAAACAGCATCCAGGCTGCGCTGGTCAAAGCAACAGTTTGCACGCCAAAGCTGCAGGTACGCTGGGATGATCAGCCCCGGTGTCACCACTTAATATGGCGAGAGTCTTCTTTGGCAGGAGGCTTGCCACTCATGCCTCCTGCAGAGAAGCAAGCGAGCGCTCTCTGTCAAGTCTCGTCAGCCCGGGTCATCGGGCGGGGTTTGCGCATGATCCAATCGAGCAATTCGGCGCTGTTCCGGACAGGAGCGGAGTCTGAAGCCCACCAGCATCGTCGAACAGTGCGATTCCGCGAAAACGGTGGAAAAACAAAGCCAGGGGCCCGCTTTGCTCTGAGGCACGACGGTCGCTCAAGTTCGCCCACTCACAAGAGACGGCATCTGGACACAATGCTTCATGGTTTGCTGGTGCGAATCGCTGCTGTGTTTGGGGGGCCTCTGCAATCCAACTAACGTCGTCGAACAATTCAATTCCGCGAAAACGGGAAAAGAAAGCAAAGGTCCTTTGTTTGTTGGTTTTGAGTCTTGTGCACGGAGCTTGCATGCATTTCACGACACGTCAGACACGTCAGCTCCAGCTCGAAAATTGCAACCCTTCAGTACAAGTGCACGAAATACAAGTACACTTTGGCAGCTCCAGCTGGAAACGTGCGCGAAGTACACTTTTGCACCCAATGGCAATTTCTGTGCAAACGTCATCCTTTTTGTTCTCGTGTTGCTATCGTTTGTGGTCAGCTACCAAGTCTGGCCTGGTTGCCACTTCCCAAGCTCACAAACGATCGTTATCGTTTTTTCCTCACTATTATTGGGCAAACACATTCCACGACTAGGGTATTGGTGATTCCCATGGCAAATGCGCTTTGCAATGACAAACTCGGCGTGGATTGTCCGCCGATCTTGACATGAGGCATTTCTATTAGTACGGTTCACCGGTCGTTGTTGATTTTTTTTGGCCCTTGACTTTGTGGGCCTTAAATTGCCTCAAGGTGTTATCGAAGGGGTTAGACTGAAGCATCAGGCGTCTCATGACAGCCTTTTTGGAAAAGCTGGTGCTGTCTATCCTTAGCGGCCACGGCTACAGGACGCCGCTTGGTTGGGCATTTGCGGTTGACTTGGACAAATCGTCGTCAAATAAGTTGCCTTACATCTCATGCACCCACAAACCACCCTCAGCCTTTCCTCCGCGTTCCCGCCACTTTCCCCCACCCCTTCTACCGTGTCTGCGTGCCACCCAGAGTTATCACCCGCCTCAGCGCCCTCGTCGCTGGCCTGGACAAAAACTCAGCGCTCAAATGCTGTGGGTATCGCAAACACAAGCATATGGCCGTAAATTTCAATTAGGGCCCTTCTCGGACATCATTTGCATGGGATATTATGTCCACAAACCATGATTGAGAAGGTTCTTAATTAAGCAGCGAACAAAATCCATGAACTTTCGGTTATAAGATGATTCTAAAGGCTTTTCCATTTACATATTGAGCTCATGTCAATCCCCACTGAACCAGGTATAACCACTAACTGAACCGGTCCATGGGGTATTGGGCGCTCAACTGAACAACATAGCTATGTAACGACAGGCCTTTCCCCTTGACCTCCCTGATTTTTGCTTGTTGCTTGACATCTGGCCAGCACCATCACGAATATGGACGTCAATGATCCAACCTTTGCCATGTCACCGATTGCCATCCCATGCGGCTAGGTACATAGCTGATGCTTCTTGCTACCAACAAGAACCAAGCACACACACACACACTGCATAGGCACTACAATCACAAGCAGTATGATCCCTGTTGCCACTATGTGATAACTAAACCAATAGAAGACACATGGCAGTCGGCCACCACATCGAAACGCATGTCCAATTCATCTATATATGCATTTGATAATCATAACGTGGCTGAAATAATCACAACCTGTGATCTCGGACAAGTCCATGAATCGCACGGACATGCACGGACGCAAATGCGATCAAGCCAAGGTAAAAACGTGGTTGCGCTCTAAAGCTGAAAACCGTCGAATCGTCATATTTAGGGAATACTTCTGCACAGAACATGGACATAAAGCCTGACGTCTTGAGAACTGGACAACCAAACGTGGGTTAAGGCGCATTCGGTATAAAGCAAGTGGCAACATGTGCAACAGTCCGTGCTGACCAACTGGACAGCTCAGCGCCAAAAACGGGCTTGAAATGGGATTTAATGGCAATCAAATGAACGAACTCAATCACAACAAAGATCGACCATGGGGACGAACTGGGTAGCTCCTCCGCTCTGCGGCCCTGGCCCACCCAGCAGCCCGCGAAAGATCCAGAGGTGTCATAGCCTGCAAAGTGAGCAGGTAGCAAAGCGGGCCAAGCCTGAGAACACTTTGCAAAGCCAAGCTGAACTTGCTGGAAATTCTGCACAAATCAATCAGTCCACTCCCCATGACTTCAGAAGAAGAAACAGAGACACACACACACACACACATAAAGCTTGCCGAAAAGGAATGCAGCACAGCAACAACTCACAGGGAACCCACCAACATCACCCATACTTGAAGGAACCTCCATGTCAACCTCGATCCTTGAATCTCGCTGCATGTTTCGGGGTGTAATTTTACAAGCTCCATTGGGCATGAAATTGAGTCTCATTCCGCAAGAGATTCACCATTCACGCATTTCTGACTGTGCTGGCGAGAAAAACATGATGGGACTCACAGTGGATCGTAGGGGCGATGGCCAGCCTCAAGCTCAAGTCATCTGGCATGTCCATGCAAGATGCATGAACAACCTCAACATGCCGGCGGCATGTGCAATTGACTGGCATGACTGAATTCCCTTGTTGTGAAACTCGTCTCATGTCTTTGCGTTGCGATCCAATAATACTTTTAGTCAGCTCCGTCATGGAGCTTTCGCATGGCTGCTACAAACGCACCATAATATAGCGTACACAAGCGAGCTGTTAATCACAAAGTGCACTTTGGCAACTCCAAATGGGTTATTGCGAGTTCGAGTACAAAATATTACAAGCGCAGTTCAGAAACTCAAAAGCCCACTGGCCATGTGAAAAAAGTGGGCACCCTTTGTTGCTGGATGTAAAAGGGGATCCCTTCCAAAAGGAAGCAAAAAACCGTGCCACTGGCCAACCAAAGCAAGGGACCTTCATGGGGCGTGTTTTACCCCCAGAAATTATAAATTGGTTGAACACATCCTTCGGTTTCCCTTTTGAAGGGGATTTGGGCCCGTGTAAGCCAAGGTAGCCCTGGTTGCTATGTTGCTCAGAAAAGCAGAATCCATCAATTTGCTTTCGATTTCTTGCTTCGCTCCCTTGCCTCCTTTTTTGCTTGCTGGACCAATTGAACGGAACACATCCAGAAGCTTACTTCACGCAAAGACATACCAAACAACAACAGAACCACAACATAATCGTCAACAGCCCACCAAGATTCAGATCCAAAACAAAGCCATAGCTCTGCTTAAGACCAGTGTCCTCTTACAATGTCCACGTTGGAAAGAGGATAGTCAAAAGGCCCCTTTTGACTCATTCCTCCCTCATGCCGCCTCGACCCCCTGTGGCCGGACCCTCTCCTGGCTCATGCCGGCTGTGGTGCCGGTGGTAGCCACCTCCGACCACTGACACTGGGCGACGGATGTGGAAGACGAACTGTTTGAATTCAAACACATCAGCTCATCTTGTGATGTGAATTATGTATACACATATATACTGTTATATATATACACATACACGTACGTATATGCCTAAGTCATATCTCTTAACGTTGAATAGCACAACAATTCACGTTGTAAAAGATTGCACACCACACATGATAGGGCAGAATAAATACCGTGAAATCCACAGAAACACGTAACGCGTACCTGCTGGTGATGGCCATCCCCCGGACACAAAGCTCAGGATTCCGGAATGCGCGTAGCAAATATGGCATACTTCAAACGCCACAAAACGCAATAAAGGTACCAAGAGGGCGCCCGAGCAAATGTTCTGCCTGGAGGTTGGCTCCTGGAGGGCTCTCGCGCAGACGGCCCCCATTGGTGGGTTCTCGCGTCCCTTGCGCCAACTGGACAACCGTCATTGTGGACTGCTCAACACTTGAGCCGTGCCAAATACTCTTGTGTAAAAAGCGGTCCTATAAACTTGCTTTCGCGGACCCTTTCGCGATGCTTTCGCGACCCCATGTTTTGCTTTCGCGGGCTTTGGTTTCTTTAGAATTGCTTTCGCGACGCTTTCGCGGCGGACCGTCACACAGCTTGCAGGCTTTCGCGGGTCTTTCGCGGCGGGACCTTCTTTGGTTACTTTCGCGATAAGCTTTCGCAAGCTTTCGCAAGCTTTCGCAAGCTTTCGCAGCCTGCTTTTTAACTTTCGCGGGGATTCTATAGGGCACCCCCCTTTACTACTTTGTATTGTCAGGGTTTATGGCGCTGCTCACTTGTTTGTGTCACAAGAGTTCCCCAGCTCAAATCATCGCTCAAAAGATCAGAAGCACATTGCTAAATCCTGAGTCATGTTGATTGGTTTTCCCATCCACGAAAAAAGCTGCTTGCTTTGCGGCTACCCAACCTGGGTGTCCTTGAAAAAGGAGGAGATCCCTCTCTCAGTCAGGTGGTAGTTTGGTATTTGCCAATGGCCCCAGCTTGCATCATTCGATAACCCCCGTCCTTTCCCCATCTAGGTGTGTCACAGAATTAGCAGACCGCCCTTGAGGGCGGCCTTGCTGTCGACGTCTGCACACATATATGTACCTCACCAACAGGGACATCAGGCATTCGAAGCCGAAACAGTTTTTAATCAAGCAGAATGGCATGCCTTGCCACCGTTCACTAAGCTGGCTACACAAATGCGCAAATAGTTGTTCAAAGCTTGGCTTAAAAAAGAAAAAAATGCTTTCAAGAACACGCCACCCTAGGCTAAACCTAAACCCAGCATTGTTTTGGACATGCTGGCCTTTTTGCTAATCCAAACCCGCCACGCCCACATCTCAGGCCTCATCTGACGGCTTCTCCTGACAATCGACTCTGATCCCCAAGCAATACATCACTTTCTGTGCGAGAGTACGTGTTTTGTACAGTACTTTATCCTAGAAAGTACTCAGATCCACTCAGTGCAATTCATGTGCTTCCCCAAGAGGCATCAAGTCTGATTCGTGCGTTTTCCAAAATAGGAATCGAGCGAGTGTATTCCATATGCTTTTCCTTGGAGAGGAATCTAGTCAGCGTGTGTTTCTGAGAGTGCAATTCGCATGTGGGGTACTGTGTCGAGTGTGAAGCCAGTCATACATCTGGTACCAGCCGTTAAAAGTCCTGCCTGGTTGCGTCCCGTATGCCAGAGCCTGTACCCTGGTAGCTTCCCACTGTTGTCAGTGCTCCGTGACAAATACGCCACAGGGGGGCCCAGAAGAATCTACAGACAACAGTTTGATTGGCAAAACTGCCTGCTCAGCAGATCACTTGCATCACAAGACAACCTGGGCCCATGATGCAACACGTGGGCAGAAGCCAAGAAGCCAAAAGTTCAAATCGGTGAGTTCGATATCATGTGCCCGGACAAATCAATTCGCTCCCCACACACGCACACACACACACACACTCGAAAGGAAAGGAAACAGGCAGCCCGCTCCTGGCGTGGTGGCGTCTTGTGCTCAAGCCCTTCCCCGCCGACACGTCGCAGAAGCGAGCGGTTGGCCGCCTGGACGTGGCTTCCCGGCAAAGGGATGTGAAGGATCCTTCACAAAGGAGTTTCCTTCTCCGTGAAGGGGGACTGTGGTAGATTTCGAGGGTTGGCTCTGCTTCAGAGCCATAGCAAGAACCATTGCTGCCCCGTGACTAGAGCCTGGCCGCTAAGGATCAACATGTCCTTCCCACAGCTCCCCCAAGGTTTCTAAATCAGTGAAAACAGTAAACAAAAAACGGCACGAGTGGTTGGAGCTGTTTCACACACCGAGGCACACACACACACACACACACGGAACCAATGAATGATTGTGCACCCTGGCGCCGTCAGGGTCGACAAAGTGCTCGGAATAACGGACTTTGGGCTACAATAATCCTATCGGCGAAATCCTTCCATCCTGAAAACCAAAACAGGCGCGTAAGCCTTTCTCATTTTGGAGTCATGCCCATGGGCACCTATTGGGTCACAATTCGGTGCTCGTTTCATCAAAGGGTGCAGAATACACACAAGTTTTGCCATTGTTCCCCTTTCCCAACAATGGGAATCAGATACCTAACACGCGATAAAACAAAGAGAGGCTTCATTCCAACACTACGACAGCCCTGTCCTGCAGTAATTTTCATCTCTTTTCTTGTCCATCAGTTCTTTCTTCTAAGTACTGAGAACGTCGCAAAAACTCTCCAAACCACACCCATCCGCCGAACTGCCAATTTCCTTACGTATCCTTTGTACAAAAGTGCTCAGCCAAAAAAAGTCCAACAGTGCCCCCCCAAACGCTCAATCAATACTAAAAGGCTACCTAATTGAGAAACCGGCCAAAAAACACCATACTCTAACGGTTAGCAATGCTACACCAATACAAACCAATACTAAGCCACTACTAGAGCAGCACAAAGACCAATACTAAGCCAGCAGAAAGGCAGCTCAAAGCAATGCTAAACCCCAAATCAAACCAATACTAACCCAGCACAAAGCAAAACTAAACCAATGCTAAAACAATACTAACTTGGGGGAGGCCGAATTGATCCCGAAATTGATCATGTGTTTTCTCATTTGGGTTCCCAACATTTGTTTAAGGGGGGCCGTTATTCGTGCATATTGTTTTCTCCGACATGGCATACGATCTTTATATGTCCATCGTAGCAAATGACCAAACAGCAGGCCACATGTTCAAATGCAGGTCAAATACGGGCGTTGCACAAAAAATATGGCCGTTCACGGTACCAGCGAGCAGCTTTGTCCCACTCGCTGAAAGGACTTGGACACAAAAGGTCATGCCTCAGAATCCAAACTGGAAAAACCAAGACGGTCAACGGCAAAAGGTCCATTTCAGATCAGTTCAGATTATTTCAGAAGGAGCGCTGCAAGCCGCCATGCCAATTGGCCCTCACACATCTAACAAGCGCAAAGGATAAGTCGACTTTGAAGGGGGGCCAACTGGACGCCAAGAGAAACCGACCAAACAGCGGGCGCTTTGCCCATCACAGTTGCTCCCATGGCCTGAAGCTCCCGGATCGCTTCCTGGACTTTCGAGCTCATGGGAAGCTCATTGGGGATGAGAACTCTTCTGAGTAAAACCCCATGCAAACCCATTCCCCGCAGTTCCAAACATAGCCTAACAGCGAACCACCATGGCTGGTGGACATGAACCCCCACCTAAATCATGTCCACCACAGGGTCCCCCTATTGAAAATCAAATCCATATGACGGTTATCATTGGGAAACAACTCTGCCAACAAAACACGCCAGGGCTTCGAGCGGTACCGAAGCGATCAAGTGGGTCTATGTCAAAACTGGTAAGCTTAGTTCCTAAACCCCGCTTTTGACGAGTGCTCATACCAGCTAGCAGTATTCCTACATCCTCACCAAACCGCCCAACGCGGGGTCAAGCGAAGATTGAGGTCAATTATTTGAGGATTCGATGACCGCCACTTGGATATGCTAAATAAGAAGGCCTGCAACATCAGTCCATGTCGAACCGACTGTAAAGTCGACACCGGATTGGAACAAGAACCCGCGGACTAGATTTGCGATTCCCCCCAGCAGTGGAGGTGCTCAAGATGGGGCACACCCCTGCTGAACAGCCAGGAGGCTATCAATATTGGATTTTCACTGTAGATGTGCACAAAAGCCAAGTCTAGGAGACAACCTCGGATGTAACATCTGGTCTGTGCCGCTGATGGACTCATGCCAGGCAAGCCTTCCAGATGGCAAAGCCTTTCCAAACAAGTAACGGATTCAAAGGGCACTATACACAAGCGGTCTGACGAGGGGTGCTCTACTGGACTGACATACTCGGTCCCTCTAGATGGTGGTTGACATGCGAGCCGCACCCGAGGTAAAACATTTTGCGCATCCCTTGAAATGTTCACTCTAAGTCTCTAAGCTGCCACTGTCTGAAGCTGGCTCGGGGTGTCTCAAACGTGTTGGGAATGCGTCAAACCTAGGAAGCCTTTGAATGGCGCCCTCCAAAGCATTCCATGCTGAATCCACAGGCACTACTTACCTGGAAAGCAGCTTCCGATTCAAAATAACATCAACCCCTTATTTTGCTTTTTAAAGGAAAGCATGACCATGTGTGTCGGGGCCGACACTACTACGCGTAAACATGCTTTAAGCCAATATTGTTCTTTGATGTCCCTTGAAAAGGAGACCAGGGTCTGATTGCCTACACCGAAAGAGAGCCAGAAAAGTTGCCCGCATTTATCAACCTGGTGGATCACTTAGCAGAGGTTGTCCCTCCAAAAGTTCGAAAATGCAATGAATCAACTGGGTGTGCCAAATAGGGGGTCTGGAAAAACAAATCCATTGCCCATTCCCTTTGGCTTCCTTCTGGAACGATTTTGGGCTATTTAGCACCCGGCCAACTGCCGACGTAATCCAACGCAGGCGCCTGCTTGTGCCACCAGGC